ATATATTATATATATATATATAATATATATATACATTTGCTTTAAACAAACAAATATCAGAAAAATCTACTTAATTTTTTTTCTTTCATATCTTCATTTTGCTTCTCCAGTAAATGTGTCTTGATTTAAGGATGTTGAGTTTAAAAACGAGACGGAAATACTGAGAAAGAAAGTGCTTTTGCAGTGCATTAATGTAAGTCACCTTTATTTCTATAGAATTTTATACAATACAGATAGTTTCAAAGTAATAAGCAGGAAAATGACAGTTGTAAAATTCATCAATTAAGAAACAAACTCAGTTTTATCTGTAACAATAGAGTCGTTATGCAGATCAGCTCGGCTCAGTTTTGTTCTGGTCTGATCGTGTCCGTGCAGTGAAATCATCTGTAATGTCTGATGGTTATTTGTCATGATGTCTGTGGTGTTCTTCTCAGCTCTGAGCGAGGACGCAGAAGACTCGTCTCCTCTGAAGAGTCCCGTGTTATCCAGCACCAGACCTCTCTGTGTCAGCGCCAACGGTACGTGTGTGTGTGTGTGTGTTTATGAGTGTGTGTGTGTTTATGAGTGTGTGTGTGTGTGTGTGTGTGTGTGTGTGTGTGTGTGTGTGTGTGTGAGTGTGTGTGTGTGTGTGTGTGTGTGTGTGTGTGTGTGTGTGTGTGTGAGTGTGTTTGTGTGTGTGTGTGAGTGTGTTTGTGTGTGTGTGTGTGTGTTTATGAGTGTGTGTGTGTGTGTTTGTGAGCGTGTGTGTGTTTGTGACCGTGTGTGTGTGTGACTGTGTGTGTGACTATGTGTGTGTGTGTGTTTGTGAGTGAGTGAGCGAGTGTGAGCGAGCGAGCGTGCGTGTGAGCGAGCGTGTGTGACTGTATGTAAGTGTGTGTGTGAGCGAGTGTGTGTTTATGTGTTTATGAGTGTGTGAGTGTGTGTTTATGAGTGTGTGTGTGTGAGCGTTTGTGTGTGTGAGCGTGTGTGTTTGTGAGCGAGTGTGTGTGAGCGAGTGTGTGTGAGCGAGCGTGTGTGAGTGAGCGTGTGTGTGTGAGCGAGTGTGTGTGTGAGCGAGTGTGTGTCTGTGTGTGTGTGTGTGTGTGTGTGTGTGTGTGTGTGCGCGTGTGTGTGAGCGTGTGTGTGTGTGTGTGTGTGTGTGTGTGTGTGTGTGTGTGTGTGTGTGTGTGAGCGAGCGTGGGTGTGAGTGAGCGTGTGTGTGTGTGTGTGAGAGCGAGTGTGTGTGTGAGAGCGAGTGTGTGTGTGTGAGCGAGTGTGTGTTTGTGTTTATGAGTGTGTGAGTGTGTGTTTATGAGTGTGTGTGTGTTTGTGTGTGTGAGCGTGTGTGTGTGTGTTTGTGAGCGAGTGTGTGTGTGTGTGAGCGAGTGTGTGTGTGTGTTTATGAGTGAGTGAGGTGTGTGTGTGTGTGTTTATGAGTGAGGTGTGTGAGTGAGTGTGTGTTTGTGAGTGAGTGTGTGTTTGTGAGTGAGTGTGTGTTTGTGTGTGTGCGAGAGAGAGAGTGTGTGTGTGTGTGTGTGTGTGAGCGAGTGTGTGTGAGCGAGTGAGTGTGTGTGTGTGTGTGTATGAGTGTCTGTGTGTGTGTGTGTGAGCGAGTGTGTGTCTGTATGTCTGTGTGTGTGTGTGTGTGTGTGTGTGTGTGAGTGTCTGTGTGTGTGAGCGAGTGTGTGTGTGTGTGTGTGTGTGTGTGTCTGTGTGAGCGAGTGTGTTTATGAGTGTGTGTGAGCGAGTGAGTGTGACCGAGTGAGTGTGTGAGCGAGTGTGTGTGAGTGTATGTGTGTGTGAGTGAGTGTGTAATGCTGCGCTTCTGGCGTGTCTGAAGGAGAGAGGCAGAGTTATGAAGAGCAGCTGCAGCAGATGCTTCAGGACCTGAGCAGAGGAAAGCAGAAGAACGAGGAGAAGCCTCTTCCTCACATGAACCAGGTGATCCTTCAGCTTCAGAGCTCAGACTGATGCGCTGCGTTTCATCTCTCAGTACATCACTACAGTCACACTCGCGTCTCTGTTTTGTAGCACATGCATTAACATAATTCAGTGCGTTAGATGATTCTTCCTCTTAAAAGCACAGTGCATGTGACGAGTAAAAAACATTTACGTTTATTCGTTCAGCAGATGCTTTTATCCAAATGAGGATCATCACAAACAAGTTGTCATTAAAGCCAAAATACAGTGCATCACGTCACGTTTAAAGTTGTATATATGCAAATATGTATGTTAAAGCAATAAGCCCCGTGAAGCTGAAGCCTGAGAAAATCGAATTGTGATTTTTCTGATAAAAATTGTGATCGCAATTGAATTCGTAGGGCTGCACTATTTGGCAAAACTTTGGTCATTTATATATCAATATGGCTATAAAATAATAATAATAATATTGTTGTTGTTATTGATAGAATTATTATTATTATTACTACTACTAAAAAATACCAATATTACTATGGTAATATTTTACTGTGAAATAAAAAAACTAGAGTATTAAAAAATATAATTGTATTTTACATTTAGAACCGTAAAATTAATAATTTCTTCATTTTCAAACATTAAACCATCAAACTCTTATTTTGACAGAAAACGACAAGGAATAAAATCTATAAAAATTGTAAATTACTAAATACAAATCAAATGAAATATTAATATTGTAATATTTCACTGTAAAATAAAAAAAGTCAAGTATTAAAAATAACTTAAAATTACAATACTATTATTTATGTCTTAATTTCTTCATTTTCAAATGTTGAACCATCAGACTTTTATTTTGATGGAAATCCAGAAGGAGCCTTAAAGGTGAGGAACAGCGGCGTATCATGAGCGGTGTAAATGAACACAGTGCTGCGCTTCACTGTGAAACACACACCGCATATGCTTATGTAAATAAATCTGGCTGCATTGTTGATTTTATTCCTGTACTCCCGAGTGTGAATGGTGGACTCTTAACCCGTCTTGAACTAATGCTTCTGAACGGTGTGTTGTGTCCCGTCAGCACCAGTTCATCCAGTTCTGCAAGACGCTCTACAGCATGTTTCAGGGCGATCCGGGCGAGGCCGAGCTCTTCCAGGCCATTGGGATGGTCACCAGCCTGGTGCTGCAGATCGGAGAGGCTCGACAGAGCGGCGAGACCCGGAGCGAGGAGCACTGGTCAGCCAGCTTCGAGCAGATCCTGGCCTCTTTACTGACCGAGCCGGTGCTGGTTAGCTTCCTGGAGCGACCCGTCCAGCTGACAGCCAGGATCAGCGCCGCCAAGCCCCGTCAGTACCAGGAGCGCGCCGGGCTGCTGATGATCCAGCACACACACCCACGAGTGCCTTGATCTTCACACAGACGTCTACACAATCCCATGATGCCGCTGGGGGGAGCCGGACTCAACTCAGCCGGAGCTTTAATGAAGGCAATCTGTGTGTGTTTCATCAGCAGCACACTTTACAGATCTCAAGTCTGACAGGACTGAACTGTTTACATGTTACTGACCGTATGATCAACTCACATGAAGGAAATACTGATCGTTATTATTATTATCGAACGATTCTGAATCACCAGGCGAATCTGATGCATGCTGAAAGCTTCAGTTAGAATATTTACACTGCTCTTCCTCAGTATTTCCATCTTGTTTTATATCTCTAAGCATTCTTAAATCAAGACACATTTACAGGATGACGCACAACGACAGAAGATATTAAAGGTGAGGTTCACCGTGGGTGAACCGTCCCTTTAAGTCTTGTTTTCTGAAAAAAGCTTAAAACAAGAAAAATCTTCCAGTGGGGTCAGAAAAATAATCTGCTTTCTCCTTTGAATTCATTTAATTTTTCTGAGCCAGCTGGAAAATGTTTTTTCTTGTTTTAAGCAAAAACTCAACTTCAAGATTTGTCGTTTTGACACACACACACACACACACA